ATAATTTATGTTTAGAGACATCATTCCAAGTAAATACATGAGCAGTTGCTTCCCTCACTAACAGTATAGGAGAAAATTAACGAAACGCGCAGGCTCTGATCATCGAGTAGTCAGCTACCGGTACCATGAGGAGCATGGAGTTTTAACTAGCAATAACTGCGCACATTTCCTTAGGAAAAATAGCTTTCATGATTTCGTCAGATGCAACGCAAAAGGCTTTGATGAACTGCGTACAAACCAGTCCTTGCCAAAGCCATACGGCATATTTTCCTAACCCATATTGTTGAAAAACTTCCCTAAAATTTTTTCGAACTTACAAAACTGTTATATCGATAAACAAACTGTCTGCGCAAACCAATAAACCTTCTGCGACGTTGTTCAGGTAAAAAATCTTTCGTTGACCAGGAAGCAGTTGAACAAAGTCTTGTTCTCAGAACGATATTTCCTCGTGAAAACTTCTGCCTCGAAATCTCCTGTAATAAACGTTACTATAGAGTCCTCCTGGAGTTCCCGTGGCTAGTAGTACCCCGTACAACGAGCCTTCTGGTCTAAGAGCTATAGCAAGTCCAACCAGACGATTCGATTTTAGTTCCTTAAGAGAGGCCCTTGTGGATCTATTGAGGTGGAACACTTTTCTAGCCGCTGAGAGGGACCATACACCAAAAGGTTCAAAACACACCTGAGGATTAAAGTAAACAAGAGTAAACTTTACATTCATCTGACTGTTTGTTTAGTAAATGGTTTAAAGTCTGGAGTATTAGTAGTTTGTTTAGTGTGATCGTCTGGGTGAACGTAGTTCTGAAAAGAACTGTTGTTGGTGACTGACGTTTATACAATCTGAGCGGAAGGTCATCTTCAGAGTCAATTGAAAAGTGTTTGTTAGTCGATGATGTCTGTCTGTTTGCCTACTGATTTGCTTGTTTGATTGACTAACTGTACGACTGATACAGTGACTGCTGACTGACTGACTGACTGACTGACTGAATGACTGACTGGCTGATGGACGGACGGACGGACTGGAAGTCTGTCCGACTGACTGACTGACTAACTGACTGACCAACCGATCTACCGACTGCTTACCGACTTCGATACCGACTGGCTGACTGACTGACTCACTCTCTGGCACTCACTCACTCACTCACCCACTCATTCACTCACCTGCTGACTGACTGACTGACTGACGGACGGACGGACGGACGGACTGGAAGTCTGTCCGACTGACTGACTGACTAACCGACTGACCAACCGATCTACCGACTGGCTTACCGACTTCGATACCGACTGGCTGACTGACTGACCCACTCTCTGGCACTCACTCACTTACTCACTCACTCACTCACTCACTCACTCATTCACTCAGTCATTCACTCACTCACTCACTCACTCACTCACTCACTCACTCACTCACTCATTAACTGACTCGCTGATCATGACCGACCTACTGACTGCCTGGCTTGCTGACTGGCCAATGTTTGTGTGTTTATAGTGGGAAAGGACTATTTTTGATACCTTAGTTATGGCAGATTCCTTCTCTAGAACTTTAGGAATGACCTCCACAGCGAAAAATCCACTTTTTAGCATCTTTTTAGCGGAAGGATATAAATGATAAACAGAGCTTGGAACAAGATCTCTGTATCTACCGCTTGCCGCGTATTTAACTGTGGCGTTACATTCCTGAGCTAGGAATGATGTCGCGGGCGCAGGTGATTGATCTACGAGAACAGGAGGAGAGCTATCTGCAAGAGTAAAAGAGGTACATTAAATTCAACGTACAAGGAAAGTGATATGAAAATTGATTCGAGTCTCTATCACAAGAACCCGGGAAAAGACTAGCCTAAAAGTAGGCCTCACGCGGAATAAGCAGGTTGGAGTCTCGACATCCGCCACTTTCTCAAGTCCAGTCCTCTTCCTACAACCTGCAAACAGTAACTGGTCTCATCAAGCCTAATTCCTAAGCAGTGCGATCAATTACACTGTGATGTCGTTGTAAGAAAAAGAATTATACTCTGCTTCATGCGAAATGTTATCCCACGGAAAGAGCCCTTTGCTCTTTATTGTTATCTCTTGTTTTACTGGAGAACGATCACTGGATAAGTGTTTACAAATTAATGTCTGTGATCATCACGGCGTGACCGTATGTTACGGATATGTAAAATCCGGTGGCTATTACTGTCGCTCCTGAAAAAAACTTGTATGCGATTCATCCTTTAAGAAAGCAAATTGGTTAACAAACGGTGCAGGTATGCATCGGCTAAACCTCAGCGAAACCAGCAGCATGATTTCTTAAACAAGTGTACATTGCAACTTACATGCATGGACACAGGCGGCTGCTGGACAGTCGCGCGCTTCCATTGAGACACCCACGCAGTGAGCGGAATCTTCCAGGGATAGACACACTCTGCGACGATGCTGTTGTCCTTCTTGGCAATATTTTCTTTTGCTGCATGCACTCCATGGCCCCCACAAACCCCACACGGCTAAGGGGAGAACATCTGAAGTTTCTGATAGATTGAAAGACGTTTCAGTAAGTGGCGTGACTCGGTGACTCAAGACAATCTATGCGCATGTCAACGTACAGTCTACTTTATACAACTGTATATATGAAACATCATATCTTTGAACCGCGGAGAAAGATATAAAGACATGATTGATCATTGCAGTTATTTACAGTATTTAGAGAGGAAGCCACATCCGCCTTAGCTGGTTTTCACGCAGGTCATCGATCCTGGTCGAACTGGAATATAAACAGCTCTGTATATTATGTATATAACTGTCTGCGATGATCAATCTTCAATGTCATCAAGTCTGCTTTATATCTTATTATCAAAGATTGAATTAACTTGAAGTTTGCCCGAACTGACAATAAGATGGGCTCTTATGCTTTGATATTTTTGCTTCAGTATTGTTTTCCGTTTCTTTGCTTGTCTGCTTGTTGTTTGCTCAGTTAGTTTCGTTTGGTTATTCGTTCGCTCGTTAGTTCCTAACCAGCTAACCAGTTTGCATATTTCTGTATTTTGTTTGTTTGTTTTTTTGTTTGCTTGGTCTGGGCGAAGACTGAAAAGATTGCCAGGGATCGGGAGAAGTGGAGAATAATGTCGTGATGGTCTTACGTCCCAGCTGGGACGAGTGAAAGAGAGTTGTTTGTTTTTTCACTTTGTCGTTCGGTTGATTGGCTTGTTTGTAGCAGGAATATGAATAAAGTTTAACTTCTGACCCTACATAGTACGCATTGCCTTTTCGCATGGTGCATTTCGCAGATGCTACTTATTCTCTTTTCTTACTCACCAGAATTCCCTTCTCGTTTGGCGTCTATTGACTTCGTTGATTCAGTTCCCCAATCAAACGGTTCCATATCTATCGGTTGGTCTAATGGCCTACTGAACCAGCTCTTTGTGAAAGAAGGTTGATATTCCATGCGCAAAGCAAACAGGGCGAAGCCAAGAAGAACGCAGACAAATGAAAGAAATTTGATGAGAGGAACAACATTGTTTTCCTGCAAAACAATACAAAACAAAAAAACAGTAACCTCGACATGCAGCATTCTATGCAAGTAAACTCTCAAAACCCAGTGCACACAACCAGTTTTTTTTTTATAAAATATCACAGAAAGACCATATGCTAAAACCAAAATTTACTCACTTATTAACCGAGGTCGTTAAATAGTTGAACATACTCGACCGTTTAACTGCCTGCGAGCAGGCTCTCGGGCGTTGCGGCAGGAGCAAAGTCGATGAGCAGAGTCGCTAGAGATGAGTCAGCGAGGAGAGTATTCCGGCTCGCTTGGCTCGCTGACTCTCGCTTCGTTCGCCAACGACTTTGCTCGTGCCACCAACGATGAGAGCGTGTGGCTGTGTACCGTCTAACACTGAATTATTCTAGTACAAGGCTCTATAATTAGCCTTGTTTATATAACTGTACAAAGGGGTGTTGATTTCAAAATTATTTAACATTATTATAAATAAGACAAAAAAGAAACAGCATTTTAACATTTAATTTTTCTTCTGTTTCTTTTTTATTTGGGCGCGGGGGGGGGTGGGGTCCTTTTGTAGGTTTGGCTGTAAAATCTTGTAAGCTTTTCAGTTCGTATGGAAGTTTTAGCAGCTGTCATCCTTTCAACTGAATTTAGGTGTTCAGAGCGTTCTAGGGAGCCATAAACGACTCAAATGTTTACTTTAAGCAATAGAGCACCACTTCATCATCTAGTAACGGAAATTTGGAAATCTTCCTGAACAAGACATATTCCAGAATTATTTTAGAAGAATCAACTGACCTCGCTTCTCTTCTCAACAGCTGCTTCTTGAGCCACATAGAAAGCAACTATCTCTTCATTTGGTCGACACCATTTTTCTTTGGACTCCATGTTGACGTTCAAGGTTCAAGTCTTTTTCCAAAGCTCAGACGCGACTTCCTTCCTTGGTTATTCCAGCAAGCCTTAGTGTATCATCCTGAAATCACAACACAACGAGCTTTGAGCCTCTTTTCCAGCTGGAAAACATAGCAGTATTCATAAAAACTGCATATACCGGTGGAGGAAGTATCAAGAAATGTTTGTAAAATTTTACCTAGCTGTTCACGATATATCAAGCTTAGATTCAGACACCAATTTATTGAAACGATACAAATCAAGAGAAAAAGCTCGTTCTCAAAGCAAGTCCTGGCGCCCATCCCTTCATTTGAAAATGAGATTTCATTCACATGCCGAATTAAATTCATTTTCGTATGAATGGTCATGCATCAGGCCTCGCTTTGTTAGAGAGGCTCAAGGCAACTCGGAAATGGGCTATTCTAATACCAGAGAATTATTGCACTTGGCTTTTGAAAACAAAACAAACTACTTCGAGCTGAAAGAAGGAAAACACTCATCTATAGCAAGATTATAATTACTAGGTAAGATTTATACCACGATATTCTGACCAAGGAAAGGAATGAGCGCGTAGTTCGGGTGCCCACGCTGAGAAAGGGGGTTAAAAAATGATTTCGTTTACTCGACGAGCTCGCAGACTTTGACTCACCCAGAAATGTTCTTTAGACCTTAGGGAATAATAATGGATGGCAGTGGAGCTGGCCAAGTGGGCCATGGAAACTTACAGTACCTCAAAGTACACCCCTCCTAAGTGTCTATGTGTTTTTAAAAGTCATCTTCACAACACTCTGGGACGAGGGGGGAAATAGTTTATGACCTATAGCCATCAACAGATTTTGTCTAACAATGCAAAATTTTCATAAGATTGAGTTCATGCCATGGATAACATGATGATGTTTTTAATAAGTCACGTGATCAGACTATGACGTCATAAAATTGACAAAAACGGATAAAGTCAATACGGCCGAGTGCAATTTATCTGTTCACGCAATCTTAAAACGTCTTTTTGGAGAGGGCATTTTACATTTGTTCTTATTTTTGAATAAAGTTCCTTTCACTTATCAATTAAAAACTATTGAGAAAAATATCACACTTCAGACAGAAGATACGAGGCGTTTTACATCCAAATAAAATAAAAATCTGACTACTGAAACTTTAGTTGCCTGTAGCATTGGGAAGTCCCGTCCGTAAACTGAAAAACAGGCTCATAAGTTATCTACGTCTATCTCAGGAAAAAATAAAAGTTTACTCTGCCAGATGGTCACTGCACCCATTTAGTAATCATTTAACCTGTGCTTTTCTCATTCGTGAAAGTGAGGGGTCGCTCATCGTGCCCCTACCCGCGTATATATCCTCAAAAGTATTTACTTAATAAAATATGTTTGATTCTTAGCATAGTCTATATAGAACTAGTGGCACAGAGTTATCCCCGGCCCCCACATTAGCGTTGCAGAAAACTGCCCGCTCGAGAGTTTCCACTGCCATCCGAGTATTAACTACCAAGGTCCAAGGAACAATTCTAGTGAAGTTAAAATTTGCCAGCTCTCCAAGTAAACGGGACGGCCACAGTGGGTCACGGGCACCCGAACTAGTGAGTTTGAAATCATTCGTTTCTAATCTTAACTATCCGTGATCCTCTATATTAAATTGAAGCCTGTTTGCAGTGTCACTGAGAAGTATAAAGCTGAACACGAACACGAAACTTTATAAAACAGCTCATTTTCGATGGCTTTGTTTGCCGTGGTGTAGAACCCCCAGCCGTGGTGTAGACCCGTATCAGTTTCTTTCTCCTCTTAAGTTTCCATTTTGAGCTTCTATTTAAAGGCTTCCAAACCGCGAGGTCTCAACAAAGACACATAAGCAACAAATAATTGATAAGAAAGGGGAAAAATTCAGACTTATAAATGCTCCAATGCTAAGGGAAAGATCGTTTTCAGGCGGGAGTCGACTAAGAACCTCGCGCATGATCTCGCGAGAGAATTAAAAAAAAATACTTTTGACCCCGGACACAAGTTAGTCAAGTTTTAAACTTTTCATGGTGGTAATGAGCGAAGGTCAAGAGCAAACCAATACATAGACCCAGCATGAAGTGTCCCTGTGGGACTAGATCTAAAATGAGGTTTCAGTCTGGGACAAAACAAATGTTAAAGCTGTTTCGCTTTCAGCCGCTTTGGACCCCATTCGCGCGAGGGGAAATTTTAATATAAGTCCTGAACTGTTTTCTCCGCTCGTATCTAGATTTTTTTTTCACAATTTGCTTTTTTTGCGCTCTTTAAAAGGAACATATTCGTAGTTTAGACAAAGTGTCAACGAAATAAAAAATTGCGTGGGGCCAGTACTGACATTCAATATCTAGCCTGTTTTGACGAGTCAAAACTCTAGAAATAACAGAACTTGATCTACCAAATGCTGATTAAGTAAGTTGAGTTGTAAAGATCGAGTTATTGAACGTGGGTTTTCAAAACACAGGAATATTAAACCTCTAAACCTATATAACATGTTTATTTCGTTGTATAAGATACACAGAATAATCAGTAACATATAACATAGTATGAACACTTCGGCTTCACCCTTTCATAGTACAAAAGACACGGAATGAATCAGCTGTGGAGGAGGCAGACGGACAAAGCATGTAGAATTTAAATGAAAAAGGCAAACCTTCCTATATATACCGCACGGTACATGTACAAAGGCCGCAAGACAATATTACTGGCAACATGTTAACTAAGAAAACGTTCTCTTAGCTTGCTATTGCGGAACAAACTAATTACGTGAGGATCCAAAACCACTGAAAATATAAAGTTAGCAAAACCAACGCTGTTTGAGAAACAGGAAAGCAACTATTTATCGCTTTTACGAGGTGACAAGTTTTGGTCAGTTATCGTTTCAATCGATTTCAACTTTTACTGAACAGACCCATTTCTGTCTAAAATGCGGTCAAATGCTTACTTACAATTTTTTAGTCACTTCAACTTAGCACTCAACTCTCCCTAACACCTAACCGACCATAAAGGACAACTGGAGGCGCAGTAACGTACCGTGTTAGCGCTCGAAAGAGAACTGGTGAACTGAATTGTGATGTTTTATCGCGTGGATTTGTTTCCTGGCCTCTATTGTTCACGGTCCTAGGTTATCAGTTTTCTGATATTTCTGAACACAGTCTAAACAGTGTTGTGTGGCCTGTTGGCAACATGCAAGTACAAAAACGTCTTTATTTCCCCGGGGGCAGGGGGGGCGGGCGTCTCCCATGTAAAAAGGACGGGGGTGCTTGTCATACCTTTTGGGATAAAAAAAAACGCGGTTTTGGTACCTCTCAGGGTGTTCAGTCTCAAAACGTCCGCAGCGGAAGCTTTCGCGGTACTGTTTAGGGTATTGAGCCGAAAAAGCAACTTATATTAAACAGGATAAAGATTTATGAAAATGCTTTCATAATTACGACGAGTAGAAGTTATTGGAAGCAATCGTCTTTATCGCTACTGAAAATCACGAGAGTGTCAGTCAATGTGTTGCTTTAGAATTGATATCTCTTAGGGGTGAACAAAATTTCAAGTCACGCCCAAAAGACAGGATCTTGGTACCACTTAGGGGTTGTTTTCAAAATTTCCGAAGAGCATACCCGTCCTGTTTATAGGAGAGTTTGACCAGGAGTCTATTTTTGGAGTTATATTGCAAGAGGTCATGCCATCTTAGCGCCCTTTCAAATGCGCTTGACTGAAACACGAACGAGTACTCATATACAGGAGCCCATTACGTAATGGCTCCTACCATATGCCAATTTCATTAGCAAAGGTTATTCATCATGTTAATCTCGTGAAAATTTGGAGCTAGAACTTAAAACCCCGCATATAACGAGTTTCCTATTCTTTTCAGGTAGTTCTGTCAAAAGAATACCCCCTGAATGTCGCTTCAAACACTTGCTAAACTGTGTACAGTCCCCGATGAGCAGAAATGTTCTGTTTCATGATATTGACACATCTTGACAGAATTTTATCTCAAAGCTTAATTGGTTTACAACCCAATCAATTCCCTAGCCTCAACCAACACCAACTTTAGTTCTGATGTCGGTTACCCTCTACGGTAGAGACATCCTCTAAGATCAGTTTCGATGTTCTCGTCCAATCAACTGATAGCTCGCATTCACACCCAAAGTTATCACGCAATGTGCCGCCATGAAAATCATTGATGTTGCTAGGCAACTTCTCTGCCTTTGAACATTCGAAAAAGGAAGTCGGGGTAAAAGAACTTTTAATTAAATCGTACATCAACAAATTCAATTGCTTCGTAAGGCTTGTGAGCGTATATTAAAGTCCCTATAAAGTAGTCTTGGTTTTGTGATGTTATGCTTTAGGATGGTCGACAATTCTGCTATTTTAAGTGTAGCCTGGGTACCAGCAACGTGGAGAGAAGCTAATGAATTTTCTTTCGCCAGGCCGGAATTTCACTTTACTAACGTAAAGGATGAATCCCTTGCTTTTAACTTAATTACTACAGCACTGCGCGCAAATGGATTGAAAAGGAGCAAAATATACGCTATTATGGTTACCACCATACAGCTACTTTGATTTCCAACTTGAAATAAAATTTGATTTAGTTTATTGTTTATCTCTTGGAAACCTCGTGGTCGCTGGTTGGAACTTAGAAATATGGTAATTTAATTTGCACTCATTATTAAAACACAGCACGACAAGGAAGCTTTTGTGTCTGGCGTTGCACGCGGTTTAACTTATGCACCTTTTGCTGATGGCTCTGCGCTTGTTAAGACATCTTCTAAAAGCTCAGAAACGCTGTCCAAAGTAAAACAGATGCTTTTAAAATGTCCTTGTGTTTTCTTTGTTCCTTGTTAAACACAATTATCATTCAAATAAGCTTGCCCAACAATCGAAACTTGAATTAAAGTCGTCATGGTTTGGCTATGTTTAACACTGTTCCATGTAAAGCTTTTATGATTTTCTACAGAAACATCTGCATGCTTCGAAAAGGGCGATATAGTGCAATGAAAATAGAGAATGGTATGCTGGAGATAAATCGTCGTTTTGCGGGTACTTATTCAATGAGAAAACTTTCTAAAAATAAATCTCCATGCACTCGTTCACTGATCTCACTCAAAACCATTGACTGATCTTCCTTCCTTGGGTCGCTTTCTACAACTGCAGAAATTATTATAAAACTACCAAATTTCGCCGAATTCCTTAAAATGGAACCGGTCACCAAAATGATTCCACGAGATTTATACATCTCTCTAATTGGATTTTAGTTTATGGATAAACAATGTCTCGGAGTTCCTCGCTGAACTATAGTTTCTTACCTTTTATTACCGGCGATTTCCGGGAAAATCAGCGATCTTGATTTGTTGAGAAAATTCCAGTTTGGGACAAATCAGTCCAACCACACGGGATCATTAAATCATCGTTGATAACGCACGGTTTGCGTCATTCGCCCTCGCGCTTCACACAAGTCGCTTTTTTGTCCAAAAGCTGCCAATATACGTTACCCGTTTTGAAGTCATCTGCTCTCACACCATGTGGCTGAATTATTAACAGCATTGTTTGTTTTCTGGTAGCAGTCAAGAAAACCCGTCAAAAGCAGACGGCCGTGTCAAGCACGTGACATGTTTGTACCACGTGCTTGAATATTGTGAACGCGGAGGACTGGTTACAGGTAGTCACAATTTTGTCAGCACGATATTCGATAACTTAATCGGAAAACGTTCAATCTTCTTCAGTCTTATCGACCCATGCGTGCCTCTTTGTGGCACTCTGATATTCCTTTACTCTGAACCCAGAAGTTTTCTGTCTTCTTTTTCCTGTTGAAGCGAAAAAACTGCGGCGTCGCGGCCCAAAATTTGAAAATATCTGGTAAAGGGGCAATGCGTTTTTGCTCGTTTTTTTCTTGTTTTAAAGTATGTTTTGGAGCTTTAATTTAACTTGTGTCGGATGCGCCTAGAATATGACAATGAAGCCCGTTTTAAAGCTTGAGAACTGACAGTGAATACTTGGAACTGCTGGAAAACGGTAGTGAGGTATAGCTGAGGGTTAACCAAATAATGAACAACATTCAAGCAGTTTGCAAAAGCTACCCTAAGTCCCGCCGTTTTAAGTCTGTCTCATCTGGTGGCAGCGCTTAACATGCTTCACTGGGTTTCGTAATTTTTGTAATAAGGAGCATATCTCCCTAGATGTCACTTTGTTTTTCTCTGTCTACTGGTACTCACTATACTCATGCCTGGCCCTCCCTCATTCGAAGGCCTCAATATAAAGCAAGGGGCAACGAACTTATTAAAGACATCAGGCCACCTCAACTCCCGCAGTGGTGACGGATGGGGCTTATATCAAAGACCTAAAACGACAAAGAACCATTTTTGCAAAACGGTTTCAGTCATGTTGACAACGTAACATTCTGGCATTCTGAGCGCAAGTTCAATCAATCAATTACTTCGTCCAGTAAGCAAGACAAAAACAACCGTTTCCACATCACATCACCATTGTCAATCGTTCTTTAAACTACACCATTAAAGTTATGCAGTAACATAACAAGCTGACAATCCCGTTTTCTGTTGTAAATGGTGCCTTACACCAAGCCTTGCTTGGCAGTCCGGCAGAGGACGAAACGAATCGCGAACAACTTGGCAAGCTTGAAATACTAAGGTACGCCAGCCGCGGCGTATATTCTTTGAGAAGGAATTTCGAACAATCTCAAAAACTGCTGTCATACTACATAGGTGCAATGGACTGCGAAGTTGTCTTGAAGCCACAGGAAAAATAGGGAATTTGCAGGGGAATCCCAATTTCTTCAACCTCAAAGGGAAATTGAGTAAATTAGTTCGGGAAAACGGAAGTTCGACATAACGGGGGTAAAATTACAGAGAAAAAAATCCAAATGCAAGGACCTTTGGATCAACTTATCGGAAGGCTTAAGAAATGCACTTCAAATTAATTATCGATCCGAACTGTTCTCGACAAGGAGAAGTCTATTTCGTGGGGTTCTTGGCTTTTTTCCTTTACATATAACCCATTCATTCAATTAACTTCTGTTTCTCTTCTTCTTCTTCTTCCTCCTTCTCCTCCTCCTCCTCTAGCTTTCTCCGGGGTAGCGGAAGCCACTTAGCCCCTGGTATGTATGGAGGGTCGCTGACAGCGCTTCGCTGCAGTAAGTTCCTGTCTTTAGCTTTTCTTCGCTTTTCAGCCTTGAGTAGGAATCGCTGTTCCTTTCTTTTTCTCTCGATTTCCTTGACCCACTGGGACTCGCCTGCAATCTGGCCTCGCACCTGGCTTATAAACTGTGGGTTCTTTTTCCGAGTGCATTCAAATCGCGATGAGCTGATGTGCCCCTGATATTTCACTCCGCGTTTGCCTAAAAATAAAACGCAAGAAGTACGAAATTAGATTTCTACATTTGCCCTGGTCAGAGCGAATTCAGCCGAGACAACCCGACCATTTCCGATTCCCGCTAGCCAATCAAGAAATTGCACGACCTCTCTCGCGAGGACACCGGAAGTTGTCTTGTGAGCGCATCTTTGTGAAGAAGTAAGCATACCGGACGATTTTATAAGCTGGTCGGGACGATTGGGTATAATTCTGAATAATTCACAAGGTGTAACTACCACTGTGATGTCGAATTCAGAGGCAATTACCTTTCCTGGTGATTCAACTGGAACAGTTTCGCTCCCAGGATTGCATCAGAGATTCGCCAAATTAATCAGGCAATCAGATTTCTCAAATTCATCCTTTGATTAAGATGCAGTTCAGTTCCGTCTTCATGGCGTTTTTACCCTTTCCTCCCTTCCCCCTTGCAGCCATCAGAATACACGAGTCAGACTACTCACCTCTCCTTTGCACACTAGTTGGCAGCAGGGCTGGTTGTCTGATGTGAAGTCCGACAGCATTAGGAGTGTGTGCCTTCACCGTCACTAATGACCCAACCCCTGCTGTCACAGACACCCAACCGACACTGGACAGTACTACATCAGCAGCACTAGTGCCCCAGCCGATTCCTTTGATGGTGAAGTCTTGTGAGCCTAGCGGTGGAAAAGTTTCCATGCGCTCTTTTCCACCGACGGGTATCTGTAAAAAAAGGGAAGACGGGGACAAGGTTGAGACAAAACACTTAACAACATCAGAAACTGTCTTGGGTGCAAAAAAACAAACAAACAAACAAACAATTTACCTAGTACTAAATTCACTTATTATGGGACGAATTACGTCACGACTGTTGCACCTTAAAAAAGAAACTGTGCACACCTTGGCCATCTTTGATGTCAAAAATGCGACTTTGTAGTTAGTATTCAGCAAAAGGCAAAAAGGGTAACGTAAAAAGTTCAAAGTAATGTTCCCTTGTTATCTCTCTCAGCCTTTCACAATCAGCCATCTTTATTCTAGTTTTGCTTTCGCTGTTTTCTAACTGGTAAAGCATCATTATTTTGAGGATACGTTTATTTGTGAATCGCAAAAAGTGACTTAACAAGAAACTAGAGCAAAATCTCCCTACATGTATTTTCATTGGCGCGTTGTACACAATTTTCAGGAAAACACTGTACATTGCCATAGAACTTTGTTGGTACTTCTAGAAATACGCCTTAACATTCAACTCACCATGTGAGCTTCTGCTCGTTATCAAGCAAACCTTTGCTACACATGAACATGTAGGTACAAAAGTGCTAATACAGTAAAAAAGTTTCGTGTCCCAGCCTCCTCCCTTTAGTAGCAGAGATCTTCCTCCACGTTGCATCTTTTCAAACGTGTGTAAACGTGACTTACATGTTAAAGTCCAGTTTAACAAACGAAAATATTTTTTACTGCTTGGTGTATCAAGACTATATACCCTTATTTGACGAATTTCTATATTTTCATTATCAGTCTGCTTGGAAATATTTGATATTGTAGGGAGAAATTAGGAATTCGTTCTTAGAAAAGAATCTTACCCCAAGTAGTTCTGTTCCAGCATGTTTGCTGTACACTTCATCAGCGCGCTCTTCACTGCAGACGTGAACTGGCAAGTTAGGAGATGCCACCACAGTAAAGAACACAGACTCGATCGCCTGGAACAGTGGAATGAAAAAACTAAATTAACCATCAACAGTTTCAAGCACAATACATACACACTAAATAAACTTATCATTTTCCCAAACATTCTTTTTGCTAGTGGTATGGTACAATCCTCTTCCTAAATGAAAATAAGATTCCGTGGTCCCTACACAAGAGATAATTGGTAAGCCGATAATTCTCATTTATATTTTCCAATCAGAAAACACGTGTACATTGCAGGCCAAATGCCACCTAATGAGGGCCGAGTAAAATGATCATTTAATTAGAGAAGCTCTATTTTGTTTTGTTTTTGGTTGTCTACCAGTTGGGTTGGAATAGAGGTACAATTTGTCGTCTCTTAGACTCAGTTGTATTTGCTGCCAGCTCCGTAATGGCAACAACTAATGTCTACTAAACAACACACCTTTGGAATTGTGTCCCACTCACTGTCACTGTGTTGCTTTTTTCTTTTTATCTTTGTGACGAGGAATAAAAAAAGAAAGTTTTATTAAGTAACTGAAAGCAAATAGCCACTAACTGCACAGCAGTCTTGAGCCTTGACTCTGATGAAAAACAGGATAAAGGTCATGGAGTCAACATTTAAAAAAGGAATACAAAGCTTCATGTGTCTTCTAATGAAATTAAATTTTGTGTGTTCCCTAGCCCTGACCCTCAGTGACGTTACGGTGTTCTAACATAGTGTACATGTACTTGAATTTCAAGAGCAGATCTAACTGTATTACTTTACAACAAACTACATTTTACAGCACCTCAAGATAGTCCACTCTGGCCAGGCCACCTAAAAGTAAGGAATGACCCGGTTTGAGAATAAAGGTCCTGGGTACAAACCATAGGGTTGGATTCAAACGTCTTATCTCCTCCATTGTCAGCAGATTAGTTATCTGTCAAAATGATCAAACTCAAATAAACGTGTAATCAAGGCAAGTTAGGATATAAAGACTTACTTCTGATATCTTCATATAATACTAGTATGTTGTACATGAAAGTATGAACTAATATCATGGGACCCCATTATATGTACAGGGCTGCAGTTACATCTACAGTGTAAACAGCACTCTGTACCTTTGAAGCCTCTGCACACATTAGATGCACGTAAGATTAATAAGGAACTTTTATCAATCTTCCCCTAAAGCAAACTTTTCCTAAGTGGACACGCTGCTGTGACCCAAACTGTACTATTTACATCTTTCTCTCAAAAGCCCATGGCCAGTGGTCACCAATTTTGTAATTGGCCCTTGGTCCTTTGCAATGATAGTGGGCTTCATGTACATGTATTTTGAGCTGTGACTTACAAGATTAATGGAGAGGGTATGGCAATAAAAATAATAAAACAATAATAATATTTGAAAACTGAGAGCAGTGTAAATGTCTAAATTGAAGGAGAGCTGTATTGTTGAAAAGCCTTGTCTAATAAGTAAGCAATTCATCTGATTTGGTGCTCCCCAGGTTGAACTAACCACATGAAACCATTCAATACAAACAAACACAAGTAAACTAGGAGACAGGTTTCTAAGGAGCTCGTTAAGAAACAGTCAAACCCATTCATGTCAAACCTGGTTTTCATTGATAATTCCTGGTGTGTCATACAGCCAGGTCTGACTTTTGTTAGGTTCATCCATCACAAAACTTGGTTTAAGAATGTCGAGAGCAGTCTGTGATTGAGTAGGAACCAGAGCTACTGGATTTCCTTTTCTGGTCAATTTTCTTCTTGGTAATTTATCTCTGTAGCTTGTTTCTTCTTTGCTAATGATTTCATCATCAATTCCAATTTCACTGTCATCTGGCTTCTGTTGAGAAAAATGAACTTAGGTTATGTAACTTTAGATTGTGATTCACTAAAAAACATTTTTTTTTCCCCAAAGCTCTTTCAAAGGCTAAAAAAATTGGTTTCAAATTGGAGTAGCCAAACAGTCAAACTTGTTCACCCAACATGATCTTTGATGAAAATGATTGATCATTTAGTGCTTTGTAAACCACTAATGCATGAGGTGATTTCATGTGCTCACTGTCGCAAATTTGAACACAAGGCAGTTGCCTCAGAATCCCCAGTAAACATTGTAGCATTTACACATAAGTGGTTTGTAATTCTGTTTTTTACGTGGTTTGTTATTCTGCAATTGTGGCATCCACTACGACATCAACAGCAGAGGCAGATTAAAATAAAGGGGGTCGAAGACAGTGCTGACAAAGTGCAAGTTCCTCCTCCCCATTGTCCCCTCTCCTCTCCCCCTCCCCCACCAAAAAAAATGAAAAATGAAAAATCCACTTTTCCTGGAAATTCTGCTTATGGAATTGTGGGACCATATATCAAAACTGCAGGGAAAAGGGGAGACCACCACTACCCTTGATCCCCCTAAATTTGCCCCAGCTCAGTGTCAAGTGATAAGTTGTCAATACAGAGTGACAACAAGAGATTCCAACAGGTCAATTCCCACTGCTTCCACCAAATCATTACAAATTTTCTATTAATTTGTCAGGTCATGTGGCTGACCATGTAGGGTTTTAGTCCTGAGACCTCCTACTTACCTGGAACACTGGATAACTGGTGCATTTGCTGCACCATATAATGGTACAGCAAATGCATGTCTCCTGTTGAAATGAGTATTTGATTGGGCATGCAAATCGGACAGATTATCAGGAAATTTGATCCCAAGATTCCCAAAACATCTTGAAAAAAAAATCGCCTGGGATTTTTTTCTTGAAACTTAAGGATAGGAAGAGTAGGAGTCTGTCTCTCTTTTTCTGCCTTCCTTTCCCCCCTGATTAGCTCCCTTCTATACCTGCCATGTAAGCTATAAAGGAGGAGAGGCAAGACACCTGTTCACTTACTGCCATAAGAAATCAGAGTTAGATGTTAGTGAAGGCAGTGTAGGCTTCCTACACCCACTCACCTTTACGACACCTTGTCTCATTCTTAAACACAGCTTCTGTAACATCCAGTGACCAATAGGAAACCTTAACATTCTTTGTGTTGTGCCTGGCCACAAGCTGACTGTTGCCCTCTGCAGCAAATCAGCCTTCTTGTGAACACTAAACAAATCCAAGAAAAGATTAAATAAAGATGTTTTCCCACTGTTACTGCAACCAATAAGATAGATATCACCCTTGTGATCCCAGTGTTCCATTATTTTGCTTGCCAGCTGAGTGATTCCAAAGCCAGTCTTAGTGCTAACAAGGCACATACTTTTGATGTTTGCACCTTCAAGGCCATGAGCTTTACAAGTTGTGAAAAGCATTTCTTTCAAGTGTTCTTCTTGCTTGCTAGTACGGTTACCCTCAACTGGAAGCATGTCCACTTTATTTCCGATAATAATGATTCTCTTTGCCTCACCCACAGTTTCAAGAAGATCTGGAAAGACACTTCCAGGGAGATCCATCATGTCAACTACATAAAGAATCAACCCTTTTTGTCTTTGAATTTGACTCAGGTACTCCATGATCTCGCCTGAGGTTTCAGTAACAGGAAAGGGTTTATTGTAATGCTTTAAATTGAAACACTTTTGACAAACCAATGTAAGAGAGTTTAAGTGAGTCTCTGGGCCTTTTTGACCAATAGTCGGATTCTTGGAAGGTATAATGTAACCGCCCTTCCCGGGATCATCGCTTTGAAAAGTAGCCCCGCAACCTGGACACTTAGGAGAAGGCTGTTCGTAAACATCTGTGAAAGCCTCGATGCTCAAGAACTCAGGTTCAACAAGAGACGTTTCTCCGCTAGATATCGTGTTGAAATCGCCCTCAGATGGCGTCCCCGCAGTAGACGTATTACCACTGAGGTCATATGAAATTAAATCTCGACTCTCCTCTTCTGAATCTGTGCCATTATCGTTTTTCTCGTCAGAAAGATGAGCCGAAGTTCTGAAGTATCTTCGAACTATAAACCTCTCCTCGCGTTCGCCATTAACACGCAATTTTGATGGGCCGATTTTGTTGAAGCGTCTGGTTTTTACACTTCTACAATAACGTAGAAGTCCATTTGTTCTCCAAATAAGGCCCCTTGCTCTAAGAAGTTGAAATACAGACATATTTCCTTGCAAAAATCCGTTTAACCATTGCACATGTATTCCGCCATGACACTTTTGTATGGGCAAATCCGCTGGAAAATCGCAGGCACAAATGGGAAAAATGTGCCCAATCTTCCCAAGTCGCAACTTGAACGTTTACCAGGCTTAGCCTGGGAGTAGTAGTTGAGAGTAGGCAAAGAAAATTATTTTGCTAAAATATTTCCTTTTTTATCATAGCAAGAGAGCATGACCTCATTTTCTCTTGATTATAGTAATAAAGCTTCAAGGACACTCGGTTAGTCACTCTCCCAACCATGTTCTAACCTGTGTCACAGCCGCCTCTCCCCGAAAAAAAAGGGAAGAGGCGGCTGTGACCGTCCTGAAACTTTTCACATGAATCTGCACTGCATAATGTAGTTGAGTAAATGCCCGACCGCACAACAAGAAGTTAAGAGGACTCCTGAACATGAAGTTTTACTAAAATAGACGGGAGGGGCAATGGAGACCAGGTCATTAGTCCCCGCTTTTTATTGCAAAACGGTAAGGCATCGAAAGCCCGTAGCTTCACTCTGCCTTCCCCTTTCAACACTGTTTCAAGACCCTTCAAGCGAAAAGCTTCATTCTTCACTGATCTTCACCCAAAACCCGGCCACCTCCGCCTCTTTCTTTTTAAAAGCGTATCTGAAACCGACTCTGGAAAGTTTCGAGAAGTGCAAGCAATTTTTGAATTTAACTGATTCAAGATTGATTTCGCCTCTATAGTACTATGACTATTATGTTGGAATAATTCTTTGATCCATATGCTTTGAGAGTGAAACGGCAGTAATGAAACAACAGTTTGAGTCATGATCTGTCTGACAAATTTTCTCAGGGATTGCTCTGTTATGTCGACTGTCGTTCCGGGACTGCATTCCGTTTACGGTTACTGAGGTCTACTGAGTCAACCTTACTGAACGTTTGGTCCTGTATAACTTGACAAAGTTTCATTTGCAAATGTTACAAGAACTGAGAATGCATTTAACTATTACCCCACGATTCGTTGATGTTTGCTCGAGAGCTTCATCGTTTAATGCTTCAGTTACTAAGTCTCTTGTAAATTAACAAGCCGGCCTCCTTAAAATATTTGACACTTTTTCTTGAATTTTTCCTTTGTCTGAAAGAACGGCATAGCCCTAAACGCATCTCGACGACCAGGAATTGCTCACTGGCAAATGCAAGAAAGAGCCAGCGCGGAATAAATGAAAGGTTTTTAACCGAATTGATTGTAAATTCAACGAGTTGTGTGTTTGGCAAAATTTACATAAACTTTCACTTCAGCTGTCACTACTAACACTTAAGGAGTCAACTTAGACGGTAAATGACACCTTTTGTGCATAGTTTACTTATCAACTGCGCGCCTAGCGATCCTATTGGTGCAGAACGCGTGTTTCTTTGTACACCGCTTCAAAGGTACATTACGTATTCACCGGGCATTATGGTGTTTATTCTTCCCATCTCAACGGGATATTGTGTACCTTGACAACGAAGCACAGCTGAAAAGTTTGCTCAGTAATTCAACAGAATCTACAGACCGCAGTCGAAGATTGACGCGTTAAAAATGGGTTTTACCGAGTTGACGAATCCGCATAAAGCTAGCAATTTGCCTGGGTGAGTAGAAAACTATTAATTACTGATTTTATCTTAGTTTGAGATAGCGTCGGTTCGGCATTAAGTGACTCATTTAGATCGGTGACACTTTTGAATGGTAGTATATGGTGTAAATAGAAAGTACAACAAGTCGAACACAGCAGTTGATAACGAGAGTAATCAATTCGTTCGGCTAAACTAAGAAAACGTTCACGATACATACTGAAGAAGCGTAAAACATTGAGCATCTATCGTGGATGAATTATTGATTCGATGAAGAGATGAAGCATATGAAGTACTTCAGTTAAGATTGTACTTTATCGTACGACGACTTGAAGTCTAACGTTTCGGAAGAGGAAAAACTGAATTGGAAATACATTTTAAAAATAGAAAGCGAAAAACAACTCCTCTGTGTTTATTAAGCCAGTTAAAGACCCAAGCCTTAATAGTTAACTTTTTACTAGAAACCAGGGAATGATGACGAGAAAAAGCCTCGGCAGGGTAAAACAATAAAGTTCCTGCCTAAAGCTACTTTTGGCTGTGACGGACAAGAATATTTTATGCCAATTTTTTTTCTCCTTACTGTAGTTCAACCCCAGCTCTAAATTACCGAAGAATAAACTGGTTAATTTGGTCCAGGTTGATCTTTAATACATGCTTAGAAACGTCATGTATCTCAGACTTTACACAGCAGGTTGCTAGGAACTCTCACCGGCAAATTTAATGATTACTGATATTTTGCTCATTCCAGATACCGAGGGTACTGTCCCCAGTTGAAATATGAATGTGGACACACATATGGGATAGCAACAGACAAACTCACTACAGTAAGTAAATATAATAAATAAAAGATTCATTTTAAACAAAGTTCGCTAAACTTTACCAAACAAAAGAAACAACTTAACGCATTATAGGGTCATTTTTTTTCTTAAATGAGTATTTGCTCTAAAAGTGTTTCTTATAAACACCAAAACCTGTATACGACCATAAGTACAGTATCCTTGTTTCATTGACGCGTGAAATTGTATGATAAAATTTTGAAGGAACCCTCGCCAGTGGATTTTGAGGAAAAACGCATATTTAGCATTACAAGATAATTGCAATGTTCTATCGCAAACGTTGACTTACTTGCTTGGAAAGCAAAGTTTCAAGACGTAAGGCAAAGATAGATGAAACATCGACGAAAGATGCTAACACGTTTTTAGCACATGTTAGTTAATTCATTCTGTTACTGACCGCTTGGTAGCTTTGTTATCTTAATTTTAATTCAATATACGTGCACGACTAGTTGTTTGAAAACTAATTTGTTGTTTTCTTTGCCGCAGAGACACATGCGAAATGAGAAACTTGTTCCAATGACTCTACCAGACCCGCGGGAGAGAATACCATATCTACCACAACCAAATGGGGACAACAAACTGACAGCAGCCATGGTTCCATATTACACAGGCAATACGAACACAATATCATTTCTTTACACACTTAAAACTTCATTAATACCAAAGAATCTCTTTTGTTATTCCCATGCCTTCGTTTGCGTTCTCTATTGTTCTTCCTTTGTTTTGGCAAGCCGCTACTTCAAAAGGCATTTGCAGCTCACTGTAGCCTCAAGTACATTGGTTTGGTTTGGTCATTACGAATTGGCAAGGAAAAAAAAACTTAGTACCACGTGGTCATTGCCTTCAGTGAGTTTTGAACTAGTTTCGGGGCCTAAGACCGATATTACAATGATTTTTATAACTCAGAAAGTTTCGGCTTTGAGTCATTTCAGAATTTTCTAAAAAGTAGACAAATTTATATATAAACAATAAATGAAAGTGCATTCAGTTTCAAAAACCAGATATGTACTCTAACCCATAGAGAGATAAATCCTCAACAACTAAGACTGTTTCGATTACTTATCGAAAGTCACGTACCAACAGATCTTATTACTCACACTTAAGGCATGCTTAATCAGTGAAGCTTTACTTACGTGTGATAAGGATTTAAAAACTCAATTTGAAGTAAAAAGAGGTCTTAAAAGGTTGACAGTTGAAATCCTTATTTGAATTAAATTGCGCTCCCATAAAAGCATTCTCTTTAATCTAAACGGCAAAAAAAAAACTATGATTAAGTGTATTCGGATTTTCCGTAGTTAGAATAAAATAGGCCATTTCTGAGTTGCCTTTTTCCTCTGTGTTAAAACAAGCCTTCTTGTGAAACCATTTATATGAAAATATGCTCCACCTGCAGGTTTGTGATCTTCATAAAGCCCGCAGTTTTTACGCGGAAGTTTCTAAGACAACACGAAGAACCAGGCCGAAGGCGGCCGACAATTTTCGGAGAACAGTCGGGATGGCGGTCTCGAGTCCTCGCCTCGTTTTTATTGGAGCATGAAAAACGAAACCTTTGCTGGAGTTTCGCGAAGATTTAGCAAAAGCGACAAGCAAAGAAAACGATTTGGGGCAAGACCCACAAAACCACTTTTTCTCGCCGATTTAATCCCGGTAGCTTGCGAAAACTTTTGATAAAAACCAGTTAAAAATGCTATAAGGGAAAATTTTGTTTGCATTAGGAAGTTATAAATCAAGACCTGATCTCCAAGTGGGAGACCTGCCACTCACTAACCATGTATTGTGTTATATTTAGGTTATGTTCCCACAATGCGATTTCTTTACGGTTCCCGATACAGAGAAGCGACAGAACAAGCCGTTAGCAATTTCATGAAGAAGGACAAGAATCACAGAATAGAACAAGATGACTTGAAGAAATCTGTGTACAGTCATCCAAAGCTGAAGCCTGTACCGAGTTACAGAGAACCCACGAACTACCCTGATCTGACACCAAAATACGCTAAAGGGTACTTCCCTAGTAAGTATGGATTACTGACAAACATGCTGCTAGTCTGATATTCGAACTTGATTAGTTCAAGAAAGTGGTCCATTGAAAAAAATGTACTCTTGCTTAAATGAGGCAACTTATGCAAATGGTTCTACCGAATATTTGTCGATGTGTATATTGCGTTTTCATGGGCTCTCTCAGCTCATCGCGCACTGTGAAAGCTTTTCTGTGCTGCAGACAACAAGCCATGCCGGAAGATCGGTGGCAAAGTTATGAGCCACTTGCCCTCGATTCCGTGGTGGTTTCCAATCTCTTCCCATGATTCGTTATATCTCAGTTAAGTCGGTTGCACGTAGAATGAGCTGGTGAACGATAAAATTGCCTGGTCTTATGATTATAGAATAAATTCTTCTTTGGAATCAATGTTAGTGAGAGTTCGTGAAAAAGCAGAGCGTAGCCATTTTATAATGTTAATTTTGTTGCCATAGGCTTTTGTTATAGTGTTCATAATGATAAAAACTTGCCAACACAACGTGTTTGTTGTTATCGCACAGGTGAACATCGGGAATTTTGTGAGGCGCCGTTACCAGGCTACACGGGTTACGTACCGCGGAGGCGAGAACACGACCTGGGTACTAGATACGCTACCTGGACTAAGGACGGCTTTACGGACTCTCTTGAAATGCGCAATAAACAGGAAGGCCTGGCCACTCAGGCTATTGACGTCACTAGGTAAACAAGATATTAAAAAAGGTTATAGTTATGTTTTATTCTGGACGGACCAAATTTGAGCTTAGGTCGTTATGCAAAGCGTTATGGCTGTCTCAACCTGGAGTAGAATAATTTCCTCCACCTCTGACAAAGTTTAAAGTCTCATTTTTAAGTTCGAAGAGAAAGAACATTTTAGTTTTCATATTCCAGAGCTAAAAATATCACTAGTTCTAAGCCAATCACTCTCAAAACTTAGAGACGGTATGACTGTATGTTCTTGTTATCTATAAATAACACACAAACCTCTCCCTTTCTGTAGATTACCAGAGGCGACTGTAAAACCGCTGATCGCAGAGCACGGAACACTGTACAGGAAAATAGGAATGAAACCAAAATATACAGGCTACATACCACGTGAGTAAACACACAGAGCTGACTTGAGCCTCCAAAGTTATCAACTGAAGATGATAGGAATTGAAGCGACTTTTTCGTTTGCCTACCTGGATCAGTGGTGTAAACTTCCTACTGCTTTATCGTGATCACATGTATTAATGAACTCTCGGTTCCAAAGTAAAAACGTCAGTCAGGGACCACAGTTTTCTTTCAGAGTTTTTTTTATTTTTATCAAAATTACCTTGAAGAAAACCCGGCTGAAATTAGCAGTTTACTAGGAAAGAATACCACCGAAGAGAGTATAAATGAACCGTAGCAAAACAAGGATGGCAACGAATGGTGAAGATTGACAAGGACTACAAACGAAGAATTTTCCTAATAAAAATTTAGGCAAAACTTTTCAAGATGGGCAAGCCGTGACGTAACTCCTTTACGCATCGCAAAAAGTGAATTAATACATCACGCAAGTTTAAAGCGTCCTTGGAGTTGCAGAATAGGAAATGAAAATTCAATTCTTGACTTATTTTTTATCTACTTTCTTATTCATTTATCAGAGCCTTTCTCTATATCTTTCTTTTCACAGAGAGACGTTTCAGATTTGGCAACACTTATGGCGACACCACGCGCTCGTTACCAGTCTGCATGGACACGCTCGGATATTCAAGTGGAAGTTACATCACAACGCCTGTCATGTGATGGGGCTCTACAGAGTACCAAGATAAGGGCCTCATTAGCATGCGCTATTTATTCAGTTACTTATTACGGGGAATTTCGTCAGCATCCTCGGACACTATTTTCCAGAAATAGTATTTATCTGAAATCATGACGTTTGGGCTTGCAAATTTCACATATTTTCGATTCTATTTGCGACAAACGTCCTTCTTTCTACTTATACTATAGAAATGATTTAATTTAAAAACCCAGAAGTAGAATAATATCTGAATGTGTAATTAAGATGTTAAATTTTCGAAAACACTTTGTCATTTGCTTTAGAGGTTGTCATTAGTGAGACATTTTCTTCACCCGTAGATGTCAGAACCTTCTTATTTAGGGATAAACACCACATGAAATACATTCCTCCTATTGACTTTCATTTAAATGATCACACACAATGTTTCAACAGGACTCAAACATTTGACTCTCAGAGTCTGATCAGTTTTAAAGGTTTGCTCCGACCGATCCAAATTGTAAATATATTTTTTGATGAATTCTTAGACGACTGCGGCCGTGCTTACGTTTTAGAATTTACTCTCTGGTTATCTAAGCTCAACAACTCCGATCTCCCCTCACCTCTTCCCTCTCGCCTCGTTTGTTACGGACGGGAAGGTAAGGGTAGACTGACCACGCCTCAACGTCTTCGATCATTCTTCAGTAAACCTGTTTAGCTAACAGGTTGAACAAGATTGAAATAGATAGTAGTTTGTCTCCGGTGGAGATGCTGTTATGTCAAGGTGTTACTTCTACTCCTGGTCGCAGCCAGTTTTATAAGAAAATTTTTTATACAGAAATTTTTATAAACGTAGGGCACGAAAGACAGCTAATAAATACAAAATTAATTAATTAATTTTATCAAAGAGTGTGTTTTTGCAGGGTGAGACCAAGAAGTCATGTCGTTAAGAAGCACCAAAAGTCTATTTTAGTTAATACGAACACTGTTTGCAATAAAAAAAATTTCAGTGCTGTTGCAATTTGTATGTGCGCGTGGGAGTTCAGTGAAACTGTGTAACCGGTTATTGCTTTCATTATGTACCTCCGGACCTAGCAGAAATGTTTCTAAGATGAAGCTCTTTAACAGTTGGACTACGACCACGAATGTTTTCTGAGCAAGTAGAAAAACCAGGGTGCTTAACTGTCTTTCTAGACACTTCAAAGGATTACAGCCGGAAAAGTTTTTTATTTTTTCAATCAAAAATCAAGAAGAATTTTCCTTTTCAAGTGCAACGCCCTCGCGATCGTCTTCTATCTATTAAACGATTAGATTATGAGCTCGAGATTTCTGTCGCTTGCCGGATAGTTGACGAGGGCGCAGCCCGAGTCAACTGTCACGCATAGAAATCTCGAGTTCATAATCTAATTTTTTATTAGTATAGATTTACTAGTCGTTCAAAACTTTATCTAAATCCTCTTCAAAGACACTTCAAAAACGCCAAAAAGCGGCCGTCATTTTGTTAACAAGGGCACACTGCTAAGCCACTCACTATCTATCACAAAATAGATAGTGGGTAGCGTAGCCAATCAGAGAACGGCAGTCGTGATAGAACGCTAACAGATTTATACTAACAGCGAATAGACAGCTAATGAGAGAACCGATCATATACGAGGAATTACAATCCATTAGTTAAAGAAGATTGGTCAAGATTTGCAAGTGATCTCCTGAAGTGTAATTTAAAAACCTAAGTAGCATTTTTTGTCTGATTTTCTTAACGTTGACTCTTTTTCATGGAAAAAACCTTTCAAAGGAAAGCGGATTAGATGTGCTTAAAATGGATACCGTTCCTTTTTTTTTTTTTTTTTGGCAAGTTTTATATGGACCTCGACTTCATCTCGATCCTTTAGCACGCAGGAAAAAAGAACTTGGTCAATATCCAGCCATCTTGACCTCACGCTTGGTCAATAACCCATATGTACAAAAACGGAATTGTTAACTTCGTGTTACGCGTCGGCTTTGTCTGAAAGTCTATGAATTAAGGTACAAACGTTTTTTAACCAACAGAAAGTAACGGCTACCCGAAAGTAACGTCTTCCCTAAAGTAGCGACCCCTTTTGTCAGCTTATACCGAAATAACAGGGGGCGTTACTTTCGAAATTCTACGGTAACATTAGTCAAGCGCTTACGAATTGGATGCGTTGCCCTGCATACCTGACAAGGGTTACTTCCGCTGTCTTGTTAAGTTTGCAAGGTGATGACACTTAGTCATGGTCATAGCAATTGTTTGGACAGTTCTGTCCAAGGGGGAAAGGTGAAACGAGGTTAACCCTATGTAAAGCACCAACTCGTGAAACAAGGCCAGAGCACAACACCGGGAACTCAGTGCTCTACTCTTTTCGATAAGTGTGTGGGTTCTTTTACGTCCCCTGCTAACCATGTAACACTGAAGATGCAGGAAGCGGAGAATACGGTTAATAGTCCTTATCCGAGTAGACTTGAACGTCTAACCATTTCTAGTTGTAATTACAAAGGCAGCACATGTGAATTTTTGCGCCTCTGGGGGTGAGAGTAGAGCTCGACGTGCTTGAAAACGGCGGCACTCGAACGAGGTTCATCTACTCAGCTCGAGCAATTAAGGATTTACACTGCTCGTGATTTTGAAAATTCTTTCAAATTTCAATCACCTAAGGGCGTGTGCAATTTTGCGGGTATTTTAAAATATCACGAGTAGTGAAAATCCTTAACTAAACTCCGTACAGTGAGCCAAAAACGTCCGGAAAATTTAATTTAACAAATCGTATTCTTTATTTAATACCTTGCCAAGTATTTACAGCAATGAAATTTACTACATCTCATTTGAAAGAGCACAAAATGTACTTTCCAGAAAAAAAACAAAAACAAAAACATAAGTTGAATTCATGCAAAGTAATATAACTTTGAAAAAAATTTAATCAGAACAACTTAGTAAAATAGGTAAAAAAAATTTGACATAAACTCAAAAATGTTGTAAAACAACTCTGCTGTTTAAATTTCGTGAGAATGAGACTTTTTTCCCGATATATATTATATGTAAACAAACGCTTCCCGAAAACTAAAATCTAGAAAATCTAGAATTTACTACGATTATTTTTTGTAGATTATGTGTAAGCAGTGACCATGGCAACCGCCCAAATATTGAAAGTTATCGAGTTGAACGATTCGTAAATTGACTCAATACACATAATTCAGTAAAAGAAGCAAGATTATAAAAGTCAATTGGCCATCCGAAGAGTATTTAGTCGGATTTAGTCGCATTTGAACAACATGCCTTTGTATCGTAAACCAACGGGCGCGAAGAGATAGGAACGTTCGTTTACCTACAATTCTCCCTTAGAATTTCGAGATAATTCAGGAAATTACTCTCATAACAACTTAAGATACCTTCTAAATTATTTTACTCCCCAAAAACCATCTCCAGGATCTTTTAAAGAGTTTTAATTTTGTTCCACGGGCTCCTCCATTTCAAAAGAAAGTTACTTAATAATCTCGCAAAAATCATCGTGTAAACCATATTCAAGTGTCGGACCCCAAAATCGGCCAGTAAACGAGTAAGTTTGTAGCCTCAGTTGGGTTTAAATAACAATATCCCTACTTAACATTAGAAACAGCAAAAGAGAGGGCTTCTGGAAACTGTAGTCAATTAACGCCATCATGCATATCGCCTATTTTAAATAGCATTGTTAAATAGAATATACTCCCGATATATTTATTTCTATTTTGTCGAATGTTTTTCTTAAAAAAAAACTAATACCACTCTCTAAACTCATTTTCACGAATTGTCGTGTGTGGAGTCAAAGCATACAACGTCTAAAATAGTTTCAAAGCTTTTCAGTCTCAGCAATCTTTAGCAGAAAATAAAACGTTTATGGAGTAAACAACGTGTTTATAGACCTGATATAACAGGGTGTAAACGGTGACCGTGACTCAGTTATTTAGACTGAAATGCTAACAGAAAGTCACCTTGTTTATGTTGTGTACGCCTAAAAGAATGGTAACTGTCAGCTGTGCTTGGGTGTTCTTCTCCAAATAGTTTGCGCCTGACATCCAGTGCACGCTGTGCAGACTGAAGAGCTGAGGAAAAGACGCCTAGTTCGTGTTGTATGTCCCCGAGGGAATGGTAACTGTCAGCTGTGCTTGAGTGTTCTTCTTCAAACAGTTTACGCCTGATATCCAGCGCACGCTGTGCAGACTGAAGAGCTGAGGAAAAGTCGCCTACGTTATTTCGTATCATTCCGAGTGAAAGGTAACTGTCAGCTGTGCTTCAGTGTTCTACTCCAAACAGTCTGCACCTGATATCCAATGCACGCTGTTTCACTGAAGAGCCCAGGAAAAGTCGCCCAGGTTATTTTGTGTGAAAGGTAAATGTGAAAGGTAAATCTAAGCTGTGCTATAGTGTTCTTCTCCAAACAGTTTACGCCTGATATCCAGTGCACGATGTGCAGACTAAAGACCTCACGAAAAGTCGTCTAGGATACTTTATGTGATCCAGAGTGAAAGGTAAATGTCAGCTGTGCTTCAGTGTTCTTCTCCAAACAGTTTAAGCTCGATATCCAGTGCACGCTGTTTCACTGAAGAGCTTAGGAAAAGTCGCCTAGTTTATGTTGTGTGATCCCAAGTGAATGGTAACTGTCAGCTGTGATTGAGTGTTCTTCTCCAAACAGTTTACGCCTGATATCCAGTGCACGCTGTGCAGACTGAAGAGCTGAGGAAAAGTCGCCTATTTTATATTGTGTGGCCCCGAGTGAATAGTAACTGTCAGCTGTGGTTGAGTGTTCTTCTCCAAACAGTTTTCGCCTGACATCCAGTGCACGCTGTTTAGACTGAAGAGCTCAGGAAAAGTCGCCCAGTTCATGTTGTGTGTCCCCGAGAAAATGGTAACTGTCAGCTGTGCTTGAGTGCTCTTGTTCCAAACAGTTTTCGCCTGATATCCAGTGCACGCTGTGCAGACTGAAGAACTGAGGAAAAGTCGTCTAGGTTGAGTTGTGTGATCCCAGCTGAAAGGTGACTGCCAGCTGTGCTTGAGTGTTATTCTCCAGACAGTTTTCGCCTGATATCCAGTGCACGCTGTGCAGACTGAAGAGCTGAGGAAGAGTCGCCTATGTTATATTGTGTGGCCCCGAGTGAATAGTAACTGTGAGCTGTGCTTGAGTGTTCTTCTCCAAACAGTTTTCGCCTGATATCCAGTGCACGCTGTGCAGACTGAGGACCTGAGGACAAGTCGTCTAGGTTGAGTTGTGTGATCCCAACTGAAAGGTGACTGTCAGCTGTGCTTGAGTGTTCTTCTCCAAACAGTTTTCGCCTGATATCCAGTGCACGCTGTGCAGACTGAAGAGCTGAGGAAAACTCGCCTATTTTATGTTGTGTGATCCGGAGTGAATGGTAACTGTCACCTGTGCTTGAGTGTTCTTCTCCAAACAGTTTTCGTCTGATATCCAGTGCACGCTGTGCAGACTGAAGAACTCAGGAAAAGTCGCCCAGTTCATGTTGTGTGTCCACGAGTAAATGGTAACTGTGAGCTGTGCTTGAGTGCTTTTCTCCAAACAGTTTTTGCCTGATATCCAGTGCACGCTGTGTAGAATGAAGAGCTGAGGAAAAGTCGTCTAGGTTGAGTTGTGTGATCCCAACTGAAAGGTGACTGTCAGCTGTGCTTGAGTGTTCTTCTCCAAACAGTTTTCGCCTGATATCCAGTGCACGCTGTGCAGACTGAAGAGCTGAGGAAAACTCGCCTATTTTATGTTGTGTGATCCGGAGTGAATGGTAACTGTCACCTGTGCTTGAGTGTTCTTCTCCAAACAGTTTTCGTCTGATATCCAGTGCACGCTGTGCAGACTGAAGAACTCAGGAAAAGTCGCCCAGTTCATGTTGTGTGTCCACGAGTAAATGGTAACTGTGAGCTGTGCTTGAGTGCTTTTCTCCAAACAGTTTTTGCCTGATATCCAGTGCACGCTGTGTAGAATGAAGAGCTGAGGAAAAGTCGTCTAGGTTGAGTTGTGTGATCCCAACTGAAAGGTGACTGTCAGCTGTGCTTGAGTGTTCTTCTCCAAACAGTTTTCGCCTGATATCCAGTGCACGCTGTGCAGACTGAAGAGCTGAGGAAAACTCGCCTATTTTATGTTGTGTGATCCGGAGTGAATGGTAACTGTCACCTGTGCTTGAGTGTTCTTCTCCAAACAGTTTTCGTCTGATATCCAGTGCACGCTGTGCAGACTGAAGAACTCAGGAAAAGTCGCCCAGTTCATGTTGTGTGTCCACGAGTAAATGGTAACTGTGAGCTGTGCTTGAGTGCTTTTCTCCAAACAGTTTTTGCCTGATATCCAGTGCACGCTGTGTAGAATGAAGAGCTGAGGAAAAGTCGTCTAGGTTGAGTTGTGTGATCCCAACTGAAAGGTGACTGTCAGCTGTGCTTGAGTGTTCTTCTCCAAACAGTTTTCGCCTGATATCCAGTGCACGCTGTGCAGACTGAAGAGCTGAGGAAAACTCGCCTATTTTATGTTGTGTGATCCGGAGTGAATGGTAACTGTCACCTGTGCTTGAGTGTTCTTCTCCAAACAGTTTTCGTCTGATATCCAGTGCACGCTGTGCAGACTGAAGAACTCAGGAAAAGTCGCCCAGTTCATGTTGTGTGTCCACGAGTAAATGGTAACTGTGAGCTGTGCTTGAGTGCTTTTCTCCAAACAGTTTTTGCCTGATATCCAGTGCACGCTGTGTAGAATGAAGAGCTGAGGAAAAGTCGTCTAGGTTGAGTTGTGTGATCCCAACTGAAAGGTGACTGTCAGCTGTGCTTGAGTGTTCTTCTCCAAACAGTTTTCGCCTGATATCCAGTGCACGCTGTGCAGACTGAAGAGCTGAGGAAAACTCGCCTATTTTATGTTGTGTGATCCGGAGTGAATGGTAACTGTCACCTGTGCTTGAGTGTTCTTCTCCAAACAGTTTTCGTCTGATATCCAGTGCACGCTGTGCAGACTGAAGAACTCAGGAAAAGTCGCCCAGTTCATGTTGTGTGTCCACGAGTAAATGGTAACTGTGAGCTGTGCTTGAGTGCTTTTCTCCAAACAGTTTTTGCCTGATATCCAGTGCACGCTGTGTAGAATGAAGAGCTGAGGAAAAGTCGTCTAGGTTGAGTTGTGTGATCCCAACTGAAAGGTGACTGTCAGCTGTGCTTGAGTNGGTTTTTTTTTTTTTTTTTTTTTTTTTTTTTTTTTCATCTTTTTTTGACAAATACGGATAGCTCTTTATATTCTCTTCGGTCGATTTTCGCACTTGCGTTATAATTTGTTAACTGAGTTCTATATTTAAGATATTTCCAGATGGGAGGATTAAACCTGCTTATCCTCTTAAAAGTTGTTCAGAGAATGAGAGATGAGAAAGACAATAGATCCTGGTAGAGGGAAAGGTTTCACTCATGTAATGTTGTCTTCTTAATTCTTAAAAATTCAGCATGCCATTACTATACAAGAAAACAACCATTTATCGTTTTTGTCTTTATATCACTTAAATAACCAACAGCTACATATAAAATAAATAAATAGATGCACTTTGTGCCAAATTACTTATAAAATCAATGCGAATCATAGATAATCTTGAATGCGCACAATCATTTCTTATTGATTTTCGTTGTGTATCTTTTTTTACAAATCAGAACAATGTTTAAAATTTTGTTTCTTGCGAGCGAAAGTGTCTTCAGGCCCCATGTCTGTACATGACGCCTTCGTTTAACGTGCATAAGACATAAATCTTAACTTGTGTTCAAATTTTGACGCAGACATAACCTGCTTTTTGATTTCATAGCCAGTTAAAATTTAATTCGTTCACATAAACACAACGCACCATGAAAGAAAAAGAGAAAGCAACGGAAGAGAAGTTTCTCACGTGACAATGTCTGTTTGGACACCGGCTTTTCTGGAACTTTTCATTTTCTCTTATCACAAGACAGAGCGGTTTTCATTTGAGTGTCGAAAAGTATTGGTTTTGCATCAACTACTCTACATGATTGGCTAAAAAAAACTCGCGCCACTTTTTGATCCAATCAGAAGTAAAACCAAAACCAATCGTGACTCGCTCGCACTCGTTTTCCCGCACTTTCAGTGAGCTGCAGGTAATTACTTCGAGTTTTGATTGGTTCACCGTACTGACTGTGTCCTTTTGATTGGCTAGAGTGATTACTTTGGTTTTGATTTTACAACACTCAATTGAAAACTGCTCTATATGTGGTTTCTTGTTAGACAAGCCAAACGTTAATTGCGAGTTGCTATGGAGTCATGGCGCCTGCGCAATGGGGATGCCAGCCCACATCACAGTATACCTCTTGCCGTTCGCTTTATGAACATACTAGCCCGTACTGTATCAATAAAACCTTAACTCGCAGAATATTGACATATCATTTTAAGTAATAATTGTCCGTAGTTAATCTCAATTAAATTATAAACTATGTAACTCTCCGCCCCAAGGCCTCAGGAAATCACTTTCTAAAGATCCGTTGGCATGTGTGGGACGGCAATGTGACGCTGAAGATAAATGAAATCGCTTACACCTTAAAATCGCGACGGAAACCTTCTTTGTATAAGCTACAACTACTATGGCTGGGAAGCTATGGAACTGTTCTATCTTCTTCCTTTCTCTTCTACCTTGAACAAATACTCTGTTTTATCCATGTTCAACATGTTGCTCACGAATGCATATTCTTCTATCCTGATGTCTTACGTATAAGTTAATGTCACGTGTTTGCTGTCCATTCATGTAAGTGACGGTAGAAAAGTGAATTGTGAGGCTTGCATTCCTGGTTTTGAGCGTTCTATTCTTCTAAACTTGCCATTGTCTTTGATGGCGAGATAGCCTGTGTTGTTTGGATGTACCGGGAAATCCAGCGGCTTGTAAGTCAAATAACCGTTCTCTTCCATGTGCTCTACGAACAGAGAGTTGGTATCAAGGTTCTGCTGCTGTTGGTGAAAAGAAAGAAAAACGTTATCAACAGTAATAAATATAGTAGAAATTTTTCAGTGGAGCGTTTAAGAATCTCACCGCGTTTGTGATTATTAAGTAACTAACGTAAAAACGCAAATAGTTTTTAAAATGGTTTCAAATACGTAAACAAGTATAAAGCATCTGCGCATTTCGCTGCTTTACACCCTGTGAAGGCCTGGGAGGAGGGGAAGGAAAGCGCGCGAGAAACGCTAGAAAGGGGATATTCCCATCGTCTCCTGCGTTGTCCTTGATATAAGGTTTGCAATTTTGGGCGACTTCAACGCTCAACAACTGGTCAAAGTAGTAACTGAAATATCACAATAGCGGCTGAAAACTTTACATGAACTCAAACGAAGCACGGTAAAACCAAAAGGAGGCGTGGATCATGCATAAAATTGGAGAAGATTAAAACGGATTGCATTCGTATAAACTTGAAAACGTTGTCCCAATATTTTCAAGTTTACAGCAGTTTATATGAAAGCGTCATTTATGATACCCAAAAATTATTCTTCTGTTATGTGCCTATGCTTTTGTCCTGCCAATTTGAAGTTTATAGAGCTCATCTAAAAGAAGAATATCTAGATTTCCGTGATATAGCACCTTAAATAGAACTGACAAAACCCCAGAAATACTTACAGTGACTCCAACAAATTTTCCTCTTCTTTTTTCTCTTATTTCACATGCTAAGAAAAGTTTGCTCTGGATTCCTTTGAACCTCTTCAGTGTTTTGTTGTAGGTTTGTCTTTCAAGTTTAGCTAAAGGATGAAACACAGTTCGTGAGTAAAACCTTTGACTAGACTGTCTAGATTGCGTGATTGTAAATGTGGGAAAGCACGAAAGGGCTTTTATCAACTGTTAAGACGATAGAAAACCCAAGGGGGACTCCCTTATAAAAAAGACGGGGATGTTCGTCGGAAATTTTGAAAAGAACCTAATAGGTACCAAGGTCCTGCTTTGTGGGCGTGGCTTGAAATTTTTTTCTCTCTCAAGAGGTACCATTTCTAAAACAGTACATTATCTCCTGTCATATTTTTCGGCTCAATACCCCAAAAGGTACCGCGAAAGCTCCTGCTGTGGACCTTTTAAGGCTGAACACCCTAAAAGATTCCAGAACTTCGTTTTTAACCCCTAAAAGGTAGGACAAACACCCCCGTTCTTTTTATATGGGGGTCCTCCCTGGGTGTACAACGTGCGCTTCAATCAATCTTCTTACTTACTGTATATGGACGAATTGTTCAGCGTCGTTTGAATAGTTCCATTTGGTAAAATCACCAGGAAGTAGCCAGTCCTAGAAAAAAGCTGTCCTGTTTGAGTTATGGTAGGATCTGGAAAGACCTCGTATAAATTATTCGAAGTTTGAACACGTCTTGGAGGTTGATCTCTTGAAGATCTGGAGTTCGCTTTGACAGGTAACCCCTGTACTAGGTTGGAAGACGTGCAAGAAAACACGAAGTATATAAAAACGATCTGTTGAATTAAAGATACATTTTCATCAGTGCCTGGCTTGATATAGTTAAGCCTGTATGTGTTGTTGTTCAATTTGGTATTGGCAGGAGCCAATCACTAGGAGCGTGCAACTACCCCATATTGCTGTCATGGCTTTTACACAGACCGATTTATTTTAAGTTTGAATTTACCGCGAATTTAGACCCCTGCAAGAGCCTCAATGAGTGACGAATCACAAGCACCGACTTAATTTTTAACTGACGTCATCATTTCACCAGATCATCATATGGTTTATGGCTTCCTAACTGAAAAAGTAAAGCGACATGTCGCGAAAATAATTAAATTTAGAAGCACAAAGTCGTTAAACATTGCAGATTTCCAACAAGACTTGAGAGAAACAGAATGGTTATCGGGAGACAATTCTGTTACGGCTGAAGCGAAGGACTTTCATGCCTTTTCTTAACAACAAAAAGGTCAAAGATAAAACGGAGATCACACTCAACATCCACGGAATTCTATTGCAAGATCAACGATCAGTAACCGAGCAATTTGCCGACTATTTTGCCAGTGTAGGTGAAAGCAGTTTTGATAACTGCCCTGCAATCAACCTCACACCAGAAGAATGCGATAGACACCAAAGTGTCCTCGCCATACGCAGTAGATGGAACTCTAACTCTTTTATTTTCAGGAAAATCGCGAAAGAGGAAACTTTTTTTTAGTCTTAAGACTTTAAATACCAACAAAGCCATTGGTTTTGGCATGATACCGTCACGCGCTCTGAAAATAGCAGCACAAGAACTTGCAGTCCCACTGACAGCAATTTTTAACCAGTGTATCGAGTAATGTAGCTTAATGTCAAGGACCTAATGGACACGAAGGGGACCAAATGTCATCATGGTAACAGGAAAATCACTTGGTGGGAAACACAAGCAAATACCAAGCCATGGTGATCGGCAAGGAACACGAGCCATCCCTAACAGCGGTCGACATTAATGGCCACTCTATCGACACTACTGAAGAACATACTGGGCGTCACTATCGACAAAGAGCTGTACTTCTGTAGACATATTTCCATAATTTGTAAAAAATTAAGCAAATTAATAGGCGTTCTAATGAGACTTAGAAAACTCATCCCAACTGAGGCAAAACTCCATATTTATAAAACAGCGATATTACCACATCTGACCTATTGTAACCTTGTCTGACACTTTTGTAAAGCAACGGACTAAAAGAAACTAGAACGAGTAAATGAAAGGGGACTTATGGCGGTTTTCTGTGACTGGAATCTCGCATACGAAGACTTAGTGAAACGCGCCAACTTGTTCTCTTTATACAACATGCTATTGCATGATATCGCCATTTTATGTACAAAGTCAAGCACAGACTGCTGCCTTCGAACATATTAGATTCATTCAGTGGCACTCCATCTGGGTCAGTACAACCTCAGGAACTCAGATTTCCATATCTCCAGATTCTATTCTCTCCACTGTGGCAAACATTCCTTACGATATCTCGGACCATATTTGTGATCAAAACTTGAACAGAGCGACAGATATATGCCAACTCTAACATCACTTGTCTCGAACATCCGCAGAAAAGACATCGCGACCCTAGTTTCAAATTACGTCTGTACAGGAAATTGTGCGAAGTGTGTTTAAAATGCTATTAGAATTTTAGACATATGTTAAGTTTGTATATATTTGTATAGGTAGAAATTATTATATTTTAGTCCTTATTTTTAAAATATAAATGGAATTTTAGATATGTATATATACCGTAAGAAGTGATTTGTAACTTTTACTTAACTTGACTTAAGGTCATTCCACTGAAATAGAACCTGCACTGAGATTTTTGTGAAACTTTACCTATTGATTGTTTATATTATAGGAACTTAAATTTTGAAATA